ATTTCTCATACCTGGAGTCTCCATGACCCTTTGGAGACTCCAGGTAGATATCTCAAATCCACCCCTTCCCCCGGCCCCCCGGCCCCCGAGGTCGGGTCTGGGGGAGCGCGCCGAGCGCCTCTACCGGGACGTGGGGGCCTACGCCATCCCCGGCGGCTCCGAGGAGATCTTGTTGGACCTGGCCATCCGCCAGGGCGCCTCGCTCGGCGCTTTTCGCTCGAGCCGAGAGAAATCCGCCCATGGACGTTCTTCAGGGCCCCTGAGATCGATACATTCTGCCACCATTTCATGGTTGTTGGGAAACATTCTTCCCATTTTTTTGGCTTCTTGTGGTTTAGTGGTTGAAATCCAACCACTTAACTGCTTTCTGTTTTTTTGCTGCCCTTCCAACGTCAACCAAGAAGTATGTGTTTTTTACCGGCAGAATAAAGGGAAACCACCAGAAACAGGGGGCTTTTTCCAGCAAAATACAAGGGAAACCACCAGACACATGTTGCTTTTTCAATACCCAAATAAAGGGAGACCACCATCTACAAGGCCATGTTCAGGTGTATAATGCAAGGATCCCTGTGTTTCCGTTGTTGTTTTTTCTTCGGGGAAGGGGTCCGATTCCTTCAACTTTGGTGCATTCTGCCAAGGGATGTTAGGACTTTACCACTAAAAGTTAAACTGTTAGCAGGGGAGCAGATTTCGCAACCGAGTTAAGTCAACGGTTCCCCCTTAAAGTCAGCTGATAAGTCAATAAGAAGGGTGAAACATGTTTCTTATTATGTCCCCTGTAAAGAAGGGTTCTCCAACCACAAAAGGATCGGTCCTCGGATTCGACTCACGTTGGTCGCGGGTGAAGTTTGACAGCGGTTCCATGCAAATTGTTGGGGTCTGTTTTTTTTTTTTCTTTTGGGGGGGGGGATCGGAGCAAAAGCAACATGGCTCAACGGATTCCCTGTTGGTTTTACTTCGCAAACCGTTTCCAAGCGGCTTGGGGCTGTGTTGTTGCAGTTGGTCACCCCTTTTTTGGGGTTGGTGCTAAAGGGAAAACGGAAAAACGTCAGTTGGACTTCCCAAAATAAAACGCACACCCACACACACACACACACACACACACACACACACACATTTGGACCTGTCTCTCTTTAGGCATCGGACCCCCAAAATGATGGAGTTGTCCTTGAATACCACCCTCAGGTTTGGTGCATAGGTGTCCTTGTTGGTTCTCTTGATAGCAAATAGATGTCCCTGGTTGACCTGGTTGCTTCAGGGGTGAAGTAGTGCCTTCCATCTTCCATTTGGGTCTGTCTATGTTCTTAAGGAATCGGATCCCCAAAATGGATCAGTTTCCCTTTTGGTTTTCCTTAAACAACCACCGAAAGGGCAGGTACCCTCCAAACAGACACCCATTTGATTAAGAATATGTGTGTAGGTTTCCCCTGTTGGTTTTAAAGGGAATCTATCACTACGGGATGTTTTTTTTCCAGGGGGCTGAAGCAGATGGAGAGTTCCATTTCCGCTCCTCCTGAGCTTTGGACTTCCCTTTCCAAAAGGTAATGTTGAGGGTGTACTAGTTACAGGGCCCCCAGAACTTGTCCCTTCAACCAACCGACCGATCAACCAACCGACCAACCAACCAAGGAAGCAACCCACCAACCCACCAATCCACCAACCACCCAACCAACCAACCAACCAATCAAGCAAACAAGCAAAATCAAGATTGCAAAACATGCTCGATGGGTTGGCTTACAGTGCGCTGAAGCCTTTTTAGGAAAGTCCAAAGGAAATCAAACCCCTTGTGTCCAGTCGCTTCCACCACTTTGTTCTTTTTGTTTGAGTGGGTTTGCCTCAATGAACACATCAAAACAGCATGTCTATGTGCGGCTTGCCTTGCGCCAAACTGGGTCCTTCCGGACACCCTTCCTGAGTCCCAGGCATCTGGTTCCTTAGCTAAGTTGTTCGTTTTTAGCCGGGGATCAGCAGACGGACAGCTTTTTGCCAGTTTGAATTTTCTTCCTTGGACTGCGAGCAACCATGTTGGGGTATCGCTTGGGCTCCATGTGCTTCTGGTATCCATATGGCCATGGTTCAAAACCCCGGTTAGCCCCCAGTGAACATCCGATTCAATCCCTACTAAAATAGATTAAAATGGAGGTGCACCCACCCCAAAATGGTACCATTGGTTTTGACCCATGGCCATATTGTCCCAAACTCACCCGCTCGTATTCCAACTACCAGAATAGGTAGCCAAGGCTTCAAACACCCTTCAACCGGCGGGGAAATGGCTGGTGACCTGATGGCAACTGGGATCTACTGGAGCTATTGCACCTTTAGGAGACCACAACGGCATAGAGAAGTTGTTCATTCTTCTGCACCCCGTGTTCACCACAAGATTCACCTCTTTCAGGTTATTTGCGCAAGTTGGAATCAGGCAAAGTTAATGGCCTGGCCTAAGCAGCCATCGCTTCAAGGTTTTGATTCCATAGATCAGATTGAGTTCCGCGCGGATCCCTTTGGGGTAAGTAGAGAAGTGGATGGAGCTGTGGTGCTCTGCTGAGGCAACAAGTCCAAGCTGTGAGCACGCGAGCCTGTCAACCCTTGGTGCGGTGCCTCCCATTGCATTTGATTGATAATCAGAGTCTATGGCAATTGTCCAACCAAACATGTCCTCCAATCTTCTCACCCTGTGGTTGCCATGGGGTGCCCATAGATCCAACTTAGGCTTCAGCATTCCATGTTGCATGTTGGATGGGAAGGAGCGACCCGAGGGTGACATGGGCGATCATTTTGAACGGCCGAATTCAAGTAAAACGTCCCCGTTTCGGGGACGTTATTTGTTTTCCCGGAACGAACGCGTGTCCCCGGCATTCCCGGCATCGCCTATGTAGCGGTGTTTGAATCAAAGTGGAAATCACTCCATAGCATCTCCACATCCCTCTCCCATATCAGGAGCTTTCTTTCTTTTGAAGAAGAAGAAGCGGTGTTGGGTCAAGAGTTGGGTCAAAAGTATACTTAAGCTTCATTCCATACCATCTCACATATCAAGTTGGTATACTTCAACCCCCCAGAAGCGGTGCCTCGAAACTTCACAAGTTGGAAGCCCACCAAAAACCGTTGGGTTTGGGTTGCCATTCTCACCTAAGGGGACTGAATTTGGGCTCGGAATTTGGTACCTCACAGGCGGGTTTCCCATTGCACTAGTTCCATTCCTACCAGTCTCCATGACTCTGCAAAGAACGGGCTCAATACCCAAAAGCACGGAGTCATGGCAACCCATTTTTGATTCACGTCAGAAAGAGACTCCAGTTAGTGCTTGGGCTGAAACGTGACTAGGGAATGATTACTTCACCATCCTTCCCACAATTTCCGTGATCCTTTTCAAACCTCCCGGTTCCAGTGCTTCCAGTTTTGCAATGGCAGCAGGAAATAGATGACCAGGGCAACTCCATGGCCAACTCTGAAAAGGAGCCCTGGTCAGAAGGAAGCTCTGAGGGCCTTATCGCAGTTCCGGGTCTTGCATTTTTTGGGGCACCGTTTTGTTGATTCGGCCTCCTTGCAGTGCTCGACATTTGTTGGTTGGCTTGTTGTTTGCCGCAAGGCATACGTGTATGGCATAATTAGTTTGTGTTATTTATGTTTTTTTCCCTGATGGGTATGCAACAGAGCCGCGGCGGACAGTTGTTACACACCCCTTTGCCCATCCTATGTAACAAGACCTGCTGGCTCATTGCATAGCCCCTCTATACCTTTGTTACTTACGCCTCAAATTATTATAAACAAGAACGGTTGTTGCACGCGTTCTCGTTGATACCCCGGCGTTTTCCCATGTGATTTCCGATGGGGTCCTGCAGAGCACACTTTTGCAGAGCATGCTACTTACAGAGAGCTTGCCTTCAGAAGACACGTTGGAACAGGCAGCAAGGAGAGGCAGGCAAGGTAGAATCCTTTTTCTTCACACGTAGTTGTTACGTACCTCGCTACATGCCCAACCCTTTTTGCAGTAATCCAGCTGCTGCCACGGAAATGTCAAGCACTGCTTTCCGTCAAATACCGCGACAAGGACCCCCGTTCCCTCCGTATCAAGATTCGCGCGCCGCGTTGCATATTCTGAAAGATTATACAGGCCATATATGTACCAGTAGATTCTCCTGGATCTCGCTATATCTCGCTCCAAAATACCAATTTCACCTGACCCCCTCTGGCGTGCTCCGTGGAAGCCGGGTTGGGCGAGTTGATAGTCTTCGTTTCGTGCTCTATTCAAGCCTCCAGAGAGGAGGGTGCTCCGTTCCATCTAGAGCACACCGGAACCCTGGAGAGCAGAACAAAAAAGGCGTGCAAGGCTGCAAGACAGGGTGGGCGGTGGAGGCTGCAACACGCCAGCACTTGGGGCTTTTCTGCGATCTGGCAGATGCACTTACGACTGTGAGAATCCATCAAGATTGGGAGCCGTACTCCTCAATCAGCCGAAATTGGTTCCGTAGGCAAACACATGTGTATATGATGTTACTGTTTGGAGATCTGGGAGTTCCATGTACCTTCTCAGGGGACAATATGTCGTCACAGTGTGGCAACTCTATGCACGCCATACCAATTGGCAAACACCAAGAAGCGTTTCCCGCAGGAACTGTAGTGGCAAAGGGACAGTCGGTGAGTTGCAAACCAAAGCCAAGCTTTCCGGCTTCAGGTTTGCAAGTGACACTGATAGGTATGTGTTGAACTAGGGGTCAAACACATGCGGGCATCTTTGTCTGGCTTCTTCCTGTTTATCAGCGTTTTATCCTGGAGTCTCTTTATGACCTGGATGAAACATGGGTTGCAGCACCCCCCAACCACTTGTGTTTGGACAGCACTTTGGATTTCGGGCATGGAACAAAACAAAAATCCGGGGTGCCAGCAATATGACATTTTTTTCAAGGTCCAGGAAGAGAAAGCAAGCTCGAATGGCCGTACCAACCACGTTTCTATCGCGCACCTCCGCCTCGAGCCTCGGGCCTAGAGCCGAGTTCTGGCAGGGGGGGCGCTGCTGCAGAAGATGGACCGCGACACACAGAAGTGCGCCTTCAAGTGCTGCCGCTCGATTGAGCGAGCGAACGAAAGCCTCGAGCGGCGAGCTTCATCGGGATTGGGGATTAGCAATTTGGTGCATTTTGCCAGGGGATGTTAGGACTTTAACTTCTTGCGCACTAATGGGTTTTCCGTATTAAGCCACTAAAAGTTAGTCACTTTTAGCAGGGGAGCAGCAAGCAACCGAGTTAGGATTCGCCAAGCCTCCATTTTGAAAAGCCGCCGGGTAGAATGCGTAGACTAAAATTGAAACAAAATCAGACATATTTGTTTTTTGGAGTGTGGACGAAGTTGAGGGTTACTCATTACCTTCAGTGACTACTATGGTTTACCAGGGAAAGCCACGCATAAGCACTAGGGGTAAAAATGCCTGGCTGCATACCTACTGTAGTGGAAACTGGAAGCGCGGTCTTTAGATAATTGCGTGACAAAGAAAAGCGGTTCACGGTTATGCCCAAATAGCGTACCGTCACACAAAAGACAGAGTTGGGTTTTAAAGGTAGACCTAAAGGTCAATATACCGGTATTCTGTGGATCCCCCTTAAAAAGATAGACCCATTTGGGGATGCCACCTAGAACAAGCCACCTTTTCGTTTTGCCTGAAAAGCTGAAAGCATACCCCGATTTCAAGGAGATGGCCCTCAAACTGGGAGTCAAACCTTGGCTTTCGGATTTTCATCCATTGAGGGAGGGTAGCCACAAGTTGCTCAAAGGGATGACCCTCGAAAAGACCCCATCTTTGAAGGAAGAAGTTGACTTTCGGTGCCTTTTTCCGCCAACTTGGGTGTGGCTCAAAATTAAACAGGAGGGCCAAACCGTAGGGTTTGGTCCATGTTTCCACTTACCGATCAGGCAGCTCATTTTGGAATTCCGGTTTTTTGAGCAGCCAAATGTGGATTAATGTTGACCCCATATTAATCAACCCATGATTATTAATGGGGTTGGGGGTGGGGGCCCCTCCAATAGTGATGACTCCCCACTAAACCTAAGCTGTTTGAGCCACAGCCATGTTTCTTTTGCGCGTTGGGGGCCCCTACAGTGGGGCCGGGGGCCATTTTGGTCCCGATGCAGATCTGTAAGTAGTGGCCTGGACCCTAACGTTTCGGGCTGCCTGGGTCCTCCGGCTGCCTGGTGTTTTTTCACTGAGACCCTCAGAAAAACTGGCAGTCTCCGGATTTTACGTTAAATCTGCATGATCTGGAAGATCCAGGTGAGGGAAATTCTTTTGGCAGGCGCCTTTGCAGTGGCACATGGACACTACTCTAGGTCCCCCAGCTAAGTGTCCTTTCTCACCCCTTTTTTGGTTGGGGAGGGTTCCCCTACTAAAATAGACGTCCTGAAAAAAGGTGGCACCCTTATTCGAACCTCTCTACTGGAGGACCCAGACATAGACACCACTTCTCCGGCATTTGTTTGCTTTGCTCCTTGTGATTCCCACCTGCAAAATCAATCATATGACTTATCCATACTGAATTCCCGCCACAGAAACAGGGGGGAATCCAACCCGCTTTTGGTCCTAGCCGTGGGCAACCCGTTGAGGTGAGGCGGTGGTGGATGGCAAGCCACGGCCTGTCTTCAAGGATCCCATCACTGACCAAGGCGCGGTGTCTGAGGTCGAGCGCCGAGGTTCCTTCGAGGGAACGCATTTACTGAGCAAGACAAGTATCATGGAGAATGAGGGGGAAAGCCCAAATATGCCCTTGCCCTTAAGGCCCTATTAAGGCCTTATTCTCACCCACCCCCCAGACCCCAGAACATGAAGGCCATGATGCTTTAGATGATACTTCTTTCGACTAGGGACGTGAAAGATCTAAGTTGGGAGCTTTTTCCCCATGGGAACCATCGAGTTCCTGGTCGGCATTTGCAAGTCTGGCCGGCAGAAACCGGGCTGTTTCAGAGTGAAAATAGTTACTTTTGCGCAAAAGGCCGGGTGGGATTACAAACATCCGAAGGTTCTAAATAGCTTCTAAGAAGGAACTTGGCCGCTTTTAATTTAAGTTAGATCCAGCTAGCCGCAAGTGTGTTTATCACACCTCGATGTTGCTTGAGTATTGGACTATGCGCTGGCGAAGAAGCTTCTAAAGAAATAGATATGAGTTACCACAAATGTATGTATATACGTATAGGTGTAACATGTTCCGTTGGATGCGTTGGCGGTATGGTTGCAATCATTGATATTGCAACCAGGGAACATGATGAACGTGCATTGGACAACCGATGATCTCGCGATGAGTTAGGAGTTGTCATGTCAGGTTTCGCGTTTCAGCTCTTGTTGAATTCTGAGCCCGCGACCAGTCAAACCCTAAGAGGCGAGTCTAAAATGGATGAGTTATCTGTTTTTTCCTGTTTTTCCCGCTTTCTCTCTCTCTCTCTTTCTTCTCAGACGCTTCAGACTTCTGAGGGTGATCCCCTTGAGGGATCCACAAGCTGGGCATCACATTTGGGCTACGCCAGAGCCCAATGATAGTTCGAACCTGTGTTGTAAGGACCTTCATTGAACCAACCAATTGTCCTTAATTTGTAGAGAAATCTCTGGTTGAAGGTCCCCGCGCAGACACTTGGAGTGTGAATTGTAGCCAAGAAATCGAAGATTTCAATACCCTAGAACAAGGAGGTTGCAAAATACACCCAGAGTCCACAATACACCCCCGCCGCATTTCTTTGTTGCAAGTTAATTTGCAGGGGACAAGGGCGGGCCTTGCCGTCAAAATGGTGCGTTTTCTTCCCCTCAAGAAACACGAAGGGGTGGTTGTTAGACCTTTGGCAAAAGAGTTCAAACAGCCCTGACATCCATTTAGTTGAGGGCAGCGCCGGTTTCAATGAGCCTTATTTGCCGGGTTTTTGGGAAGCAAAGGAAAGCAAACCAGCAAAGAGGTGTCCAGGCAGACAGTACCATCTTACTTTAGTATTTTTTGTTTGGACCATTTCAGTGGCTTCAAAAACATTGGGTGCTGTCTTTGGCCAACCCACTCAGAGCCCCCCCCTGTTTTGAGCTTTCCGTGGGACTCGGGGCTTGACAACGTATTTCCATCTAGGGCCCTTAGTTGTGACTGATCATGGGCAACTTTGTCCGTGGGAAATATCACTTTTCCAGGGAACGAGGGAATGGACCAAGGGAGTCCCTCAAAGGAAACCATAGGGGATGGTTCTGAGCACCAGAAAGTCTTCTCAGTGGTTTTCCATCCAATAATGGGCGTCCCACCCCCACTTGCTGTGGTGGCAGGCAAGAAGTCCAAGCAGGGCCGCCTCAAGTTGGTGCGACGCCGCACGGACGGAGAAGTGGGTGCAGCTAGATTTCAGCTACCCACAGTGCCATTATTTCCATCTTTTTGGGGAAGTAAATCCTGCAAGTCCTGCTACCAAGCCACTGGCCAAGCTTCTCAGAAGATGTGTGACTGCACTTCTCAGAGCTTCGATTTGATGTCCCCATGTGATTCAAAGAGCAAACTCGAGGCACAACAGCAAGTTTCGCTCCAAATCTGCCCCCGGATTCATACATCACCGGTGGTTGCCACTCTGCTATTTTAGGATGTTCAAAGAAGCGACTCAGTTGGTGCTCCTTCCCCAGCGTCCCCTTGCGGCTTGAGAAGTCCTAGGAACGGTTCCCTGAAGCCTTCGAACTGCCTGAGCAAACGCATGAAGCAGCTTGGTCCCTCAGTTTCCTTGAAGTATGCCATTGTCCGAATCCTGCCAAGAGAGCAACGCCTCTGACCGTCCTTATAGGCTCAGGAAGTCTGAGTTTTTGGGCTTCAGTCACTTTTTGGGTCTGGACCATTTTCTTGGTCAACAAAAAAAGTTTGGGTACTTTTGTCTGCCCAATCCACTCAGGAAGTGTGGGCCATGGGACCATAGACTGGAAGTGTAAGGGTTTCCAAGCGAAGCGTGCTGACCCATGTAAGGAGTTGTGTCCGGAAAGTGGAGCGGTTGTCAAAGACTCGCGCCGAAGCGCCACTCCCCCATTCCCCAGCAGACTTTAAATGTATACATAATATATATATATATACACAGGGTTTTATAATGTTCTATCGAGCACTCGCTTCCTGAGTTCCTGGACTTTAGGCCAGATTTTTAGTTTGGATCATTTTAGCGGCGACAAAATGTTTGGGTCCCTTGGCCAACCCGCTCGATCGGAAGAACGAAAGAATTCTCGAGCGACTTGCCCGAGAGCCCGGAGCCAGTCAGCTTGCCCGAGCTTGTTGAAGAAAAACGAACCCGGAAACAATATACAATCATTTGTTTTATTTCTTCTTCTTTTTTTAAACACACATAAGACAATATGTGCATTTAAATATATATATATATATACACACATAAAATATCGATATTTACCAAATTTGATATAGTTTATTGATTAGATTGAAAAGGGTCAGTCTGTTGGGTACCTTTCTGAAAATAACCAACGACCCTGAGGAGAAACCGGCCTGCTTACCCACGAGCAAAAGCATCCCAGCGGTGTGTGTTTCTTTGTTTGCATAGGAGTGTATGTTTTTTTGCGATCGTGTGCTTTTGGGGTTGTTTGAATGGAAAACAATCATGCAGAGGTTTTCGGGTTTTGCAACAAGCGGACAAAACACGGCCTGTTTACCCACGAGCAAAACACCCCTGTCAGAGAAGATGCACCGTGATTCTTCCTTTATCTGTTCCTTTAGCGAGTCCTGGGTGTTGTGAGGGAGGGTTGCCTTGACTCCTCTGAAGATACGAGAAAACCATGCTGCGAAACCTTGCACATTTTACATGTGTTTGAAACATAGCAATGTGTCGCTTTTTGAGGTACTGGTGTTCTGGGAGTTTTAAAGGCAGGCCCAAAGGAAAACTAAAGCCATTCTGGGCTGACCGTAAAAAGGGAATAGGTCTGCGACTTGCCACCCACAAGTCTTAATTCGCCGAGAATAGTTGCCTTGGATGTCGGGTTTCTTATACTATGCCTTGGATTTCGGGTTTCTTATACTCTGCTTGCTATATCGATTCCAACACGCAAATGTAACCAGGGCCTGCTACCCACAGTGTTGCCGTGGATGGTCTCCTCGCGCTGCCTGCCACACTGTGTGTCCAGTTCTCAGCCTTTCATGCGAGGGTCTAGGGGTTGATTCCTTTTCCATTCTTTTTGACCATCGTTCTTTTCAACAAGCAGCTGTTTCCCCGGGGTGATTGATGGTTTCCTGCAAAGCTTCGCATCCCGGGAAAAGGAGTGGGGAGGCTTCTAGAGACTGGGGGAAAAGATAAAACTTCTGCGCGACGCCTGAGGTGAGGGCAAGATCACCACGCTGACTGATGGCCAAGGGGATGAGAAGGAGGATTTGCTGGTGGAGGTCTTCAGGAATGGAACCTGGGCTGCTTTCAGAACCCCTTAGATTGATTGGTATTGGGTTGGATCCGGAGACTTGATTTTTTTTGGTTGAAGTCAAGGGGTGGTCCATTCAACCCGCTAAAAGTTAAACTGTTTGCAGAGGGGTCAACGGCAACAAAGCTATGGAAGGATAATGGTGGATGCTTTTGAGGAGATTGCCCTTTTCATGTTGGTTTACAGGGAGCCAAACAGAAAACCACCATTTGCAGGGTCCCCCCTATTCTGACATACCGTGGCATAAACCGCAAAGCATCGGAAAATGAATAGCGCCGGCACGCAGCCCATTCGAGCGAGTCTCTTTTGCTGTGCCTTTCGATGGGTCTTGCCGTGAGGCAGTATGGCATCATTCCCTGACGACACACGCACACACGGACGCACACAAACACAGACACACCCAAACGCGGGTCCACTGCTAGGGTAGCACATCGTCTGTGTATATCTACACTATATATACACGAACAGCAGGTGTGTGTGTGTGAGTATATAATATATATATATATATATCTACATGCTGTTGTACATCCATACACATACATACTGCCTACATCTTCTATCACAACAAAGCACGCCGAAGATTTCAGTACGCTTTGCGGCATGTTGTGGCAAATATATATATATATATATGTGGAGGGCGGATAGCAGTTTGAAGGGGAGCCCTAAGTAACTGTTACAGCAATGCTGAGATCTCAGGCGTTGCGCAGGAACGCGCTGGTTTGCTTTTCCAAAACGTCGGTCGATGGATACGTTCCAGAAGAAACACCCGTTTTTGGCCATTTGATTATGTGCCACAGGGATCTGTAGATTTCCTGTTGGGCTTCCTTTGCAACCACCGCAACAAGTGCAAGTATACATTATACCCTTAAAACACACGCACGCACACCCTAGGCCCGACCTGTGCCTCTGCTCGCTGAGGGCAGATCACCAAAACCTGGACCTTCGCGGACGTGCGCGCGCAGTCGGAGGCGATGGGAGCTGAATCCGGGAAAGATGGCGGGTTGCCAACATGGGAGGGTGGTTTGGGATATGTTCGTATTTGGGACCCTTGCCATTTTGGACACTTTTGGGGCTGATTTCGCAATATTTCAGCCACAACTAGTAGTTAGTTGTTTTTATGAGCGGGGTTCATACCAGGGGTATGCATTCAGCCTTTGGGTCGGGAACACTATTTCGATCATACTTTGCATTGCAGGGTTCACAATATGTGGACCAGAATCAAACAGGAAAGCTGGGATACGCTCTATTCCTGTTGCTCCAAACAAAGGCCCCAATATGTTTAAAGATACTTCAAAAAGAATGCCCGGCAAAATACAAGAGAGAAAAACACAATCGGCAACATGTCCTTCCTTGCCTTGCAGCAAAGCCTGTTCAATCACCCCCAGTATTTACAGGGTTTTATCTATCCCAACTCTTACAGGATTCTGTCCATCCACAGTAGCGTTCGCTGAGAGGTCAGCGAAGATGAGAAGAAACACCCTAAGGCGCTCAGGGCAGATGGCCTGCTTTCGTGAAACACGCCAACCCCTGATGGACAGAAACACAAATCCAAATATTTTAGGGGTTCCCTTAGAAGGACAATCTCTCTATATAGATGAATTCCTTCTGGTACCCTGCCACGAAATACAGAAATCAAGCTTCTGAAGTTGTCCCCTTGGTTTGGGGTTCAGCAAACCATGCTTTGTAGACAAGTGTCCTGGTTTCCTTTGCTTTTTGTGGTACAGCGAAACCGCCATGGAAAACACAATTCAGGGGGTGAAGCGTCTTGTTGGCTGCATGCCGTGCTGAGGTCCAGGGTTCTTTCAGTGCTATCCATCACATTCCGTCCACTTGCAGTAAATTATACTCAGTTGTTCAGTGGCACCAATTAGTTTTCCCTTTTTCTGCTGGCTGCCCCACTAGAAATGGTCTTCCCGAAAAAGGGTTCCCGTTTTTTCCAGGGTCACTGAACAACTGAGCATTCCGTCCACTTGCGGTAAATCATAATTTGCGCAACGTACAGGGGAGCTCAAGATGGGGGCTTGCGATTCCATCCATGAAGCTTCCTGACAAACGGCAATGCCTTACTTTTTGGTCGGCAAATGCAGCTCACCCAGAATATTGGGTGCATATTATGCCACTTTGGCTGCAGCACACTGTACGAATATATATATATATATATCACAGTGTGTTTGCAGTCATTTGTATGAGGAAAGGAAAGGTTGTTCATGGAGGGGTGACAATATATATATATATACACATGATGGTATTTGTATGGTTCCGGGTTCCGGGGCGGGGATGCTGGGCAAGACAGGGATTGCTCCCATGACGCCAAAAATCGGTATGTGACTTCAATGTATGGGTCTCAGAAATATGACTCATTGCATGGTTGTTGTGGAGCTGGTCCTTTTGGAGCCCAAAAAATGGGGTTGGTTTCAAGGGAGCAGACCATGGTTGTTGTTGGGAAACATTTTGCATTTTTATTGTGGTTTAGTGGTTGAAATCCAACCACTTAACTGCTAAAAGTTAAATTGTTGCTGCCCTTCCAACGTCAACCAAGATTGCAGGAACCAATCCCAATACACATCTAACGGGTTTGCCAAGGGGGCCTGGGGCTACGGTAGAGGGGGTGGGGGGTGGTTGCAGGGAGGTGAAAAGGGGTCTTAGCTTTATGTTTGGCCCTATGAAGCGAACGGCTTCATTGGGCCCCCTCCCTAGCCCCCATGACATCATGACGCTCGCTAGGTTGGACTGCCGGTGGCTATTTTCGACGTGACCAGCGACTGACTGATCGCACCCTGCGCTTTTCTTGCCCATTGGGATCTCTTGACTTGCTCTCCTTTTTTTAGGTTCTTGAACTAAGTGTCCAAGTTTGGTTTTAGGCTTTGATTTCCTTTTCAACCAGTCGGAAAAGGGGGTGAACACTTTCACTCACATGTGAGCACTTATTGGCATCTTCTCGGGTTCCAGCCAAGGGGCCTGGGCAGGGAATCTCAAGGGTCGACATTTAGTGCGCCCGTTGAACCGGTTCCTCGCGCTTTCGCGAGAACGGCGACGCGCCTTGACAAATCAACGCGGGCGTCCGAATCTCGTCTCTGCAGGCTGTGAATGCTCCAGTGGCAGGCCTTTGTTTTACGTTTTGCTGGAGCGGTGAGCTCGGCTTTCTTTTTGTTAATGCTGCCCTCGCACTGGCGGGGAATGGAGATGCCAGCCTTGCGTGATCAGAACACTGCCCTTCAAAGATCAAGGGATGTGTGTGTGTGTGTGTGTTCTGATTTCTGTCTGAGAGATGGACAAAAGTGTGAGAGTCGCAGGAAGGGGGAATCCTATCTACGGCTATTTGGTTGGATCTTTGGACTAACTCTTTGGTTGCAACTCTTTGGATGTTCTGAATTGGACCCACAAAAAGTGATTCACTTTTTGCAGAGGGGTCGTTGCAGCAACCCAGCTATGGAGCGCGTTGCTGGGGGATCTTCTCAAGCATGATTGACGGGTGCATGACTCAGCAAGCCCATTTGGGTATGTGTCAAACTCAGGAACCCGTCCAGACACAGAATATCCTGTCAGATTTCTTTCGAAAGACAACAATATTGCGGATGGACTAAATCCTGCACCACCTAAGAACCCCTGGAGTGATGATTCAGCCGGGAACTACCAACCAACAATGGTTTCAACCATGGCTTCCAAGTTGTGCGAATTTGATTCGTCCACCCAAATAGTTTGGCACACCTGGACAAAGCTAAGCAGCTTGGAGTAAGAGCAGTAGCGAAGCCAACCTGGGGTTGAACTGGAGGTTGTTTCCTCGTGGTGTCCCTTGAAACCAAACTGAAGAGCCCCACCCACAATACAAACCAGTCCCGATCCTATCCTATCCCATCCAATTCAATTCATTCAATCAATCAAACAAACAAACAATATCAAACAATCAATCAATCAATCAATCAATCAATCAATCAATCAAATAAACAAACTATGGACGCAACAAACACACACAGACACACTTTGGACGCGTTTTTTTTCTTCCCCGGGCGTTTCACGGCTTCGGGTTTCGCCCATGCCCACGGCTTTGGGCCATCGGATTCCGAGGACCTGGGCCCCATGCCGGCGGGCCACAACTTCCTGCTGCCAGGCCAAGCCGAAGCGGGGCGGTTTGGCCTCACCAAAGGGCGGGGGGGTACGTTCGACACGGGGGGCGGGGGTGACCGCGGGGTGGCGGGCGTATTTTTTTGCGGTGACAAGGAGAGAGAAGAAGAGTTGCAAAGCAGAGAATTGAGAAACAGAACACATGGATTCGGGGCGGGGTTTCGAATCATGTATCTGAAAGGACTGCGTTTTCGAAAACTATGTTCAATAGGGGCCATATATAGCATCCCTTTCTGTAGAAAAAGGGCTGCAAATCGACACAACCCACCAAGAAACACAAGCCAAGCTGGCACAGCAGGAAGAAAACCAACAAAATCATCACTGCCAACAGATCCAACCAACCCACAGTCTAATTTCTGTTGCCTAGCAGCGCACGGTTTGCTTTAGAGCGTCCCTTTGAAAGCAAACCACACAACAGCTGTCGCGTGATGTCGCCTTTTTCTCATTGCCACCGGGCTTCGTGTAGGGAACGATTCTTTTCAACAGGCCATCCCAAAGAGCGATTCTTTCTTTTCGACACGGGTCCGTCTCAAAATTATATAGGGGACACCCGGAAATACTCGGTGCCTGTGGTTTTTCCAGCAGAAACAAAAAGGCGTTCCCGCAAACGGAAAAGAAAACAATCACACCCAACAGTATGTCTGGCTGTCAAAGGTATGGCACCTGGGACCATGTTTGGAGCACATGTCAGCCTAAGAGTGGCGCCTACTTTGGGCGGCCTCTTACTCAGGTTTAGGGGTCAACCCTTAGAGATTGCGGGCATGACCATGCCAGACCACAAAAGGAGTGTTGAGAACGAAGCATATGGTCCAACTGGGGTTCAGCGAGGCCACCATTAAAACAATGGTTGCTTTGGTGCGTGTTGCTTGGATGTTAAGACTTTAACTTTTTGCCAACTAATGGGTGTTCCATTAAACTACTAAAAGTTAAACTTGTGGCAGGGGAGCAGATTTCGCAACCGTGGTTGGGTTCATATAGAACGCCACCATTTATCATTCAGGATTGTCATCATCCAAATTGGGTCCTTGCCAGTCTTTTCATGGGTGTCGAACCCCAGAGTGAGCGGATTTGCTTTGGTTTTCCTTACGATCCGACCAAACAATCTGGGTGCCCCCCAAAGTAAGCCCAGGTATCACCAGGTGGTTGCCGCACCCACGCAACAGGGGCAGCTCAAAAAGAAAGATGGAAAGATGATGTGTTGGTTCTTGGATTTCCTTGCAACAGAAGAACTGCTGCAACAAAAGGGTACTCCCCCACAACAAGGAACACACTGACACTTTTTGCTATTTGGTTGGATCTTTGGACTCTAACCTGTTGAACCTTTGCGGAATCGGACCCACAAAAGTGTGATTCACTTGCAGAGGGGTCGTTAGAGCAAGGTAGGGATGATTCTTGTAGGTGACCCTTGTAACTGGTTGGTTCTTTTTGGGTGTCCCTTGTCTTGCTGGTGCTCAGTAGGGAATGAGAGAGGGAACGAACCATTTTGGGATTCCCGAATAAAGGAAACCAAATCGGATGGATGGTTTTTGCTCGGGGTCATGCCCCACTTCTCATTCCCTGCATCTCTCACGCTCACGCTGGCAAGTTTTCACCACAGACTCTTTTCAGGAAACTAAGGGTGTCCCTTTTCAGAAAACAGAGTTGTGGGTGTCCCTTCTGCCCTTCTAGGTCCCCCAATAGTGCCCTTTGACCCTTTTTTGGAGGAGGGTTCCCCTACTAAAATAGACGACAAAAAAAAGTTGGTACCAACTTATTCTAACCTCTCTACTGGAGGACCTAGCCTTTCTCGTGGGCGTCCCAAAATCACGTGACGGCCACGGGCGAGAACGCAACCGCGCAGGTCTCCGTGCCCTGCTGGAGAGCCGCGAGCTGTGCGACCTGGCGCTCCTGGCAGGCATGCCGACAACAAAAACACGGGGTTGCTGCGCGAAGACGAAAAATCTGCAGCTTTTTAGATTTGTTTGTTTCTTTAGTCTACTTACTTCACCCTTGATGGAGTCAAAACCAAACAAAGCGTTTTAGCTGTTTCCTTTACTCCATCTGCTTCAGCTACTCCACCCTGTGACTTTTGGCTTTGGCAACGTGAGCTCAGTGAGGCCAAGTATCCAAGCAGGTAAGCAGACTTAGTTTGTGAAAGGTTCAACTTGGCTGCCTACTGTATTATAAGTGCCTGGATCATTGGAATGGGGTTGTGGGGGAGTTAATGTAAAAAAACTCAGTCATGATCACAAGAGACTCCTGCGTGTAAGGATTTCGCCCCTTGCCGATTTTTTGTTTTACCGATGTTACCCTTGTTTGGTTGGTTTTAAAGGGAGCCAAGAGGAAACCGTTGCCATGTTTAGGGTCCACGAACAACCCCTGCGCTTCGATTCCGGACAGGCGGCGACAGCTTTCCAGTGCACCGTGCGGTCGGGAGCCTCTGCTCCCCAAGATTCGCAAACCAACTTGCCCCCGGTCGGGCCGTGCTAGCCGTTCGGTATCCAGAAAAGAGCTGGGGGGGGGGGGGGGAAGGGGCGGTTGGAGGCATGTGTTCCATCTCTTTCATCCACGGGGACGCTGTCTTTGTCAAAGATACGTACGCCGTGCGCTTGCTTTAAGGAACAGACTGTTCGCCTGTGGATCTGATTTTGCTTGCGGGCAGCCATCCAGGGTAAAACCTAGAGGTAGAAAAAAGTCCCGGATTACCAACTAGAGTGGTAATCTAGGTCCCCCAGCTAAGTGCCCTTTCTCACCCTTGTTTGGGGGAGGGAAATAGACTACAGAAAGAAGGGTACCCGCAATTCTAACCTCTCTACTGGAGGACCTAGTAATTGTAAGCTGGGCTTATTTGGATCAAGGCTGTCTTTCGCTGGATTATCTTCAGGATGGCCTAGAGGTAAGACACCGGTGCCTACTATAGTGGCAAAACGTCTACCCAGTTGCTACGTTGAGCCGGGAAGATCGGCTTCCACGTCAACTGAGATAAAGTACCCATTGAGTAGCACGGTAGGAAACAAGCCAGATGGATGCCCAACTTCTTCCGGAGCAGGAAACCAGCAAATTCTGTTTGGTTTGTTTAAAGGGTGATTCCCTTATTTACCTCCTGCGCAGGTAAATGGAATCACTGGAAAAGATGACTCGTGGAAAGAGGGGAAACTATGGACGACAATGTGTCAAAATCCTCTCACAAAAACAACATAAACATACAACACAAAAAGCAGGTGTTTGCAATTGAACCAACCACGAACAAGGCTACCCTCAAAAAACACAAGCGCACACATCTCAACCGACGCGGGCGAGCGCCCGCACACGGACACAAACTCACACACACAGACTGCCAGCACCGACGCACTCACGCAGGCATTGCACTGCACGCACCTTCCAGACCTTGGTTTTCGATTGTTTGAAAGGGGATCACTGCCGGAAATATGGTATTGTTGTTTCCACGGCAAACAACATCATGCTGGTCGTTTTTGAGGGTACCCCTTTGTTGGTGGATTTTACGGGACGCCACAAGGAAGTCCCAATCAATGACACACTGGCTTAGGCCCCCCTTGGTTGGTGATTTGGATTGGTGGTTTGGGATATTGAACCCCTGGTTCTTGTAATTACAGGGTAAACAGGATAATTTACCCCTCAACTTCCACAGCAAACCAAACCACCAAGGGCTAGCGTGACTGGCTGGAAATTGGAGGCACTAGGAAGCCTGGAGCAACGGA